AGGCTAAGGCGGAAGGATTGCCGGAGCCCAGCAGGTCGAGGCTGCAGTGGCCGGGAGCGGTCACGGCACTCCAGTTTGGGTGACAGAGTGAGACTCCAACTCAAAAAAAAAAAAAAGTTGAACTTACACCTACCATATGCCCCAGCAATTCCTTTCCTAGGTTTTTAGCCAAGACAACAAACAAACAAACAAGAAACCCATATGTCCCCTAAAAGGCTTGTATGCAAATATTCATAACTGACTATTCATAATAGCCAACAGTCATAAGCATTCCAAATGTTAACCAAACAACTAAACAAAAGTAACACATAAATACAATACAATATTTTTTCAGCAATAAAAAAAAATGTATTAGGGATCCACAAAACAACACAGATGAATTAGAAAAACATCATGTTGAGAGGAAGAAACCTACCACAAAACAGTATATACTTTATATTCCATTTTTTACAGTTCAAGAACAGGCTAAATTAAACTTTGATGTAGACATCAGAACAGCATTGCCTATGGGAGGTGGTGACAAACTGGAAGGAACTATGAGGAGCTTTCTGAAGTGGTGGCAACGCTTTACATCTTGATTGAGATGGTAGTTACACGGGTGTCTACACTCTCATTGACTTGATTGAGATGGTAGTTACACGGGTGTCTACACTCTCATTGACTTGTACAACTAACTTCTATGCATTTAATAGCATGTTAATTTTACCTCGATGAAAAAAAGTCTTTCTTTATGGGGCTTCAGAATAACCATCTTATAAAAGTTAGGGTATATTTCTTAAAATTGATTTTGAACAAAGAAGTTACTTAATTATCAACTCCTTGGAGAAACTCAAAGAAAGCTCAGAGGAAAGCAGAGAAAATCCTAAATCCTGAAGTCAGAGGTTAGACAAGTGATCCAGAGGCGATAGCTGTCAGCTGGTATTCACTTGTTGATCCGCCCTTGCCATAAATATTTACTGAGTACTACTATAAGTCAGGCTCTGTTTTAGTCACTATGAGATCAATAGCAAACAAGGAAGATAAAGGCCTTGTCTTTACCAAACTATATTATCTAAGACAAGGAGACCAAATGAATAAGCAGGGTAATTATAGACTCTGACAAGCATAATGGAGGAAGTACACAAGAATATGTGATTTGGGGTCAATAAAGGGGTGGAGAAGACTTAAAATAGTTGAGTGACCAAGGAAGGCCTCTCTAAAGAAGTGATATTTGAATTGCATCATAGGACAAAGGGCAGATGGAAGAACATCATAGGCAGACAGAAGAGGTGTGCAAAGGTCCTAAGACAAGAATGAACATGACGTGTCTGGAGAAATGAAAAACAATTAATGTGACTGGTGCCAAAGAGCAGGGAGAAGAGAGTGGGATGGGGCCAGATTGGCTACAGTTGGGCAGGGGCTAGAGCATGCAGCATTTAGGGCAAGGTAGGAAGGACTCTGAGTGACAGTCTAAGACAAAGGCTGCTACCTCAGGGTTTTCAGCAGGCAGGTGATATGTCTGTTGCTGAGGAGAATGGGAGTAGGAACAAAGCTGGGAGCAAAGGGAATAATTAGGAAGCAAAGAGATCACAGTGGTATTGTCAGGAGCTGACTGTGACATGGACCAGGGTGCTAGCAGCAGAAATGGAGAAAAGGCAGTTTTCAGATTTTTGTAGAACCAGAACTGACAGAACTGCTGATGCGTTCAACATGAAAAATGAGAAGAAGTAAGGATGGGCAAACGGTGACATCATTCACCAAGATGAGGAGAATTCTGGGGTGGAACAAGTCTGGGGTAGAAATCAAGGGTTTCCTTTTAAGATACCTATGTACCCAGCAAAGGGAAATGCCAAGGAGGCACCTAGTGTGCGAACCTGAAGCTCAGGAGAGGCCTGGGCTAGAGATGTAAAGTTCAAGGTCATCACCATGCAGATGGTATTGAAGCTGGGGGACTAGAGGAAATCCCCCAGGAGGGAGAGTCTCAGTGAAAAGAGGGCCCAGGACTGAGTCCCGGTGCACCCCACCATTCAGAACTCCTGCCAATGAGGAAGGAGAATGAATTGAGAAGAGAGTCAGGAGAGAGTTTCCAAAAGTTCACGGCTGTGTCCTGAGGGCCTAGAACAGCCTCAGACACATAGATGTCCCTCCTGAGACATTTGCTGAATGCATGGAGAAAGGAAGGAGGGAGGAGCATGGCAATCTTGCCAGATGTTACTGAAAGACACAATCAGAGGAGCCACAAATTTAGTGCACAGGAAAGGTCAACAGTGTTTACAAGATCACTGTCAACAGGGCACTTTCCTCTCATTTGGGTGGAAGTCAGGATGACCATGGACTCTCCATTCAGCCATAATTCCACAAGGACTCACAAACTTCCTGCAACAGCTCTCCGTGACCAATCCCCTTTCTTGCTGTCAAACCCACTGAGACCCCCGCCTTCTTCCGGACCCCGGCTTCAAAATCATCTGTGTGATGATGACCTTGAACTTTACATCTCTGTGTCAGTTGCTCTGTAAACTCAAGACCTGTCAGGCTGGCAAATCCACAGCAACAACAGGAGATGTGAACAGGGCTCCTGCTGCCTGGGCTCGAGGATTCTGGCCCTTGGGCCAACTTCACCCTACACACCTTCGGAGGGCCCTCACCTACTTCCAAACTCTGGCCTGTGAATTCATCACACCTGTGATTACTACCCGCCTTCCTATCTACATGGTCACATAGCCTCACTGCCACACCTGCATTAATTTCATCCTTTTCCATCGCCCACTGGGTACACAGCAGGGGACACCAAACTGTTGATTCCTTCCACTATTTAAGAATGAATAAATAAATAAATAAGCAAACTGCTCAGACTTACCAGGAACAGTTAACACAGAGGGCGATTTCTCAGGCCATACATTAACGCGGCTGCTATTCTGAACCCAGAAAATGTTGACTGGCTCAGGTGGGCCCACGGCCTGACAGGTGAGGTTGAAGGCTGTGTTTCTGGTAACATTCATGCTCTCAGGCTGCTGAGTAAAGTGAGGAAGTCCTGAAGACAAAGCATTAAAGAAAAACATGTTTCAGATCCTGAAGCAGAGGCAGAGCCCCAAGGGAAACGGAAACTGGACAAGGACATGGCAACAGATTTCTTTATATACCAACCTCAGGTCTAACAGGGCCATTTCTCACCTCCTTAAAGTCGGGTAAGAAAAATTACAGAGGGATTGGGCGTGGCAGCTCATGCTTATAATCCCAGCACTTTGGGAAGCTGAGCCAGGAGGATCGCTTAAGGCCAGGAGTTTGAGACCAGCCTGGGCAACATTGTGAGACTCTGACTCTACAAAAATAAAAAAATAAGCCAGGTGAGGTGGTGCATGCCTGTAGTCCTAGCTATGTAGGAAGCTGAAGTGAGAGGACTGCTTGAGCAAAGCTCAAGGCTGTGGTGAGCCATGGCCGAGCCACTGCATTGCACTCCAGCCTGGGCAATAGAGTGAGTCTCTGTCTCAAAAATATATTTTTTAAAAAGGCACAGAGGCTAATTTTTACCAGTCTACCTTGAGCAGGCTTTCTAGGATACTTTCCCAAAGGGGTTGTGAATAGTGATTCAGAACTGGTTTTACCAGAAGGGAGGCCACAGACAGGTCTTAAATCAGGTGTTACTCAAACTTCTGGAACTGACTGGTTAGCAGGTTTTCAATATTATTTTTGCCAAAATAAACACACAGTAAAAAAAAATCTACACAAGCAATCTGCCCAGTATATGAAGACAATCTATTATCCATACACTTATATAGGGTTGAGCACTTCTCAAAATACATTCTCATGACAACAATACAAACACAGTTACACGGTCACAATCTTAAAATCTTCTGTCATTCCAAAATCAGGGTCACAAGAAAGCTTAGGAATAGCTCAGAGAAAGCCAGTCAATACTTATTTGGGACCTGTGACAAAAATTTAACAACTCAAGCTAATTGTGCTTTTTGGAGATTGGGAATTCACAGATCTAGTTCCAGCAGGAATGATGTGGGAGTTATGTGAAATGGGATTCTTTTTCCTGTTTCAAGTTTATTCAAAACTCCATTCACACTTCACATGTTCCTGCCCTGGGCATTTTTCTGGGATTCTGACAAGTAAAATATCCTCTAAGTATTTTGCCCAGGTTAGCAGCAAGTGTAGGAAACCCTTCCCTGGCTGATGCTGGCATAACCCCGAGACACTAGCTGTGCAGGCTGGGATATGCCTAGCACAAAGATCTAAGAGACTCCTCTGCGGAGACTCCCTCCCTCATCCCTTCCCCCTCGCTGTCTTTCCCACATACTCCTTCTTCCTTCCATTCCTGCTCCCTCAGGCCTCCCCTTCTGCATTAGTGGGTGTCAATTTCCGGTTCATAAAAGAATGAGGAGCAGAGATTCCTTGTAGTAGGAGATGTTTCTGAAAAGCTAATCACCTACTGTAAAGTCTGTGAGAAGGGTCAGGAGGAAGTAGAAAAGAGAGGTGATCTGATAGCTCTGTTAACAGGGGCACCTCAGAAGGCAGGGGTACAGGGGCCCTGGAGGGCAGCCCTTGGAAGAAGAGGGGTAATAACAAAGATGCTGCCTCCTTGCAGCCTTCCTTGACAGGTTCTGCCATTGCAGAACCAGACATCCAGACTCCCAGGCCCAGGGCACAAAACCCTGGCCTGATTCACCTATGCATCAGCTCACATTCCCCACTAGAGTTAAAGCTCCTGCCTTTCCCCAGCCCGATGTCTCACTCCTCATCTGCAATGACCCTCATGTGATGTCATAAAATTTCTACGAACCATGCACTAGACAGATCCTAGGGCCCCAAAGGAGTCCCAGACTGAGCTGTTGAGCCAGTCCAGGGAAACCACCCACTCTACAGGGTTTCACCCTCCACTCATGTAAGATAAGAAAAGATGCTGAACAATAAGCCCACAGTCACCACAGGCGAGTGGTATCTGGTACCAGCACTGCACCTGGATAACAGAATGCATCTTGCTTCCTAAAAAGTAGTTTTCAGCTTGTTTTTTTAAAAATCATAAACTCTGGACAAGAAAGCCCATCATCTCTTTATAATCATACCTCTAGCAACCAGGATAGAGCTCAACCTTTAGGAACTGAATTCATTTCGTTATTACCTGCAGTCTACAGAGAGGACTGCCTTGTAAGATTTCAGTGCTGGTAGATTTGGAAGGTTTGTATACATGTGCAGGCCAAACTTTAGAGTATCATACACAAAACATTTATTACAGGCGACGGAACTCTCTGGTCTCTGGGCTTACCTTGAACTTCAACGTAGATGGGGTCAGACATGATCTCTTCACTGTTTATGTTCATCTTACAGATATACGATCCATTGTCTGAACGCTGCACACTGGCTATGCTTCAAAGAGAAACATAAAGATATTTACAGTGGCTACCCTTGGAATCCTTATTATAGGAACAGAAAATTCTTCAACTTTGTCATTTGTCTTGATGGTTAATTTCCTGTGTCAACTTGGCTAGAACATGGTACCCAGTTATTTGGTCAAACTAGTCTAGATGTTGCTGTGAAGGTGTTTTTTTTCAGACGTCATTAACATTTAAATGAGTGGCTTTTGAGTAAAGGAGATTACTTTCCACAGTGTTGGTGGTCCTCATCCAATCAGTTGAAGGCATTATAAGAAAGGACTGAGGTTCCCTGAGGAAGAAGGAATTCTGCCTCCAAACTGCCTCTGGACTCAAGACAATATCAACTCTTTCTTGGGTCTCCAGCGAACACTCTGCTCGTTTCATATATGCCAGCTCCTACTATGGATGAGTTAATTTTCATTAAAAGAAATTTATCTCTCTCCAGATACAGATGTAGATATAAATATAGGTTATGCTTCTCGGAAGAACCCTGACTAATACATGTGTTGTCATCTGTCTTGATTTCTACAGTAGACGCTATACTAGTGGTTCTCTGCATCAGGGTATTAACCCCACAAAGCATTTTGGAAATTTGTGGAGTTGTTTTTGGTCATCACAATGTCTAGGGCACCATCGTTTTTAGGGGCCAGGGGCAACTGTTCCATATTCCAAATGACCTTCTGAGTCTAGAACTTAATTCCATTTTACATGCACACAAAGTATTTTGTGTGGTTTTGATATCCACCTCATTTTCTAGGACTGCAACTACCATGAAAGTGGTATTTCTTTGTCATGTTTGGAACTTTATGGTGCATCATTTTGGAAGATCCATCACTGATAGCACCATGCATCTGCAGCAATCACACGTCAAGTACTTGAAGGTGCAGCTAGGTGCAAGTCCCTGGTATGGTATCATCTCTCCTGGGGTGCTCATGCCCAGAAATTACATGTTGAATTCATTTTTTTTTTTTTGAGTTGGAGTCGCACTCTGTCGCCCAGACTGGAGTGCAGTGGCTGCTCCCGGCCACCACAGCTTTGCCTGCTGGGCTCCGGCGATCCTTCTGCCTCGGCCTTCCAAGTAGCCGGAATTACAGGCATGCGCTATCACACCTGGCTGATTTTTTGATTTATTGTAGAGATGAGGTCTCGCTGCCCAGGCAGGTCTCAAACCTGTGGGCTCAGGCAATCCACTCTTCATATTATTTTATTACAAATGTTCTCTTGCATTCCTTATGTTATAATTAGAACATTGTTAGAAAATCTCTGATATAATGAAGCAGCCTTGGTTCTAAGAAGCTGATGAGCCTGTTTTCTATCTTTCCAACATGTTTACAACCAGGAAATTATACAACATACATGAAACCTGCACTTAGCCAGGAGTGGGAAGGAGAGAGAGGGAATGAAGAACATTTTGGAATACTCTCAGATGTTCTCCAACACTGGATGCCTTTATCAGCCCAAAAGTATTCCTCACTAGACACAGAAAAGAAGATGGTGACCAGAGGAAGGAGGAAAAGGAAGAAAAACATGAAGGGTCTACTTTTCTTTCTAGCAGCTTGCCTAACACACAATAAAATCCATCCCTCAACTATGAAGGGCTGAAGTTTAAGGCTTAAGAGAGATCAGGAAGCTGTCATAGTTAGAGAGAGATCCATTCCGGCCCACAGACCCCACAGGCATGGGTGGCAGCTGCTAGGGGTTAGCACAGCCTGGTCAGCATCTAGAACAGACACATGCAGTGAGTGAGGGCCCCAGGTCTCGGGGAGACACATTTCTCTCAGGTTGAATACACAGTTTTCAGAACAAATACTAAACATGTTAAATACAATGTCTCTCCAACAATACCATTTTGCAGACCTTTATTAGCCTGTGATTAAAAAAAAGAACCTAAAATATTGGCCAGGCACAGTGGCTCCCACCTGTAATCCCAGCACTTTGGGAGGCCAAGGCGAGAGCATTGCCTGAGCCCAGGGATTTCAGAACAGCCTGGGCAACATGACAAGACCTCGTCTCTACAATACATAAAAAAATTAGCTGAGCATGGTGGGTGCACCTGCAGTCCCACTACTTGGAAGGCTGAGATGGAAGGATTGCTAGAGCCCAGCAGGTCAAGGCTGTGGTAGCTGTGAGCCATGCCACTGTACTCCAGCCTGAGCGGCAGAGTGAGCTTTTAACTCAAAAATAAACAAACAACCAAAAATGTATGTCAATGATGGCATCAGTCAGAACTGGGGAGATCAGAGCTGTTCAGGTTAAATCCTTATTGTTTCCAGGACCTGGCAGTTAAGAGTCCCTGTTGTGGCAAAGAGGGGCTAAAAACAGTTAAAATTATTCCTTTTAAAGATCAACCTGCAGGCTCCAAACCTGATAGACACCAGGCTTGAGAAAACTAAATAGCCAAGAGGCACTTTCCTGGAAATGCAAGATAGCAACCAATTTACAAGCTTACCCCAAATCCTCTCTTTGTGAAGTTATCAGTTTACAACCCCTGCTTGTCATGTGTACCCTGGAGACAATTTGTTCTTTGAAAATCTGGTTTTGCTAAGTACAACCTTGCAAATTCCAAAGGAAAAATGTATAGCCATACAACCTGACCCTTCCCTTACCTAAACTAACAGATAAAAATCCCTCTCCTCTCTCTCCAGGTTGCTCAGCCTTGGAGCATTAGCCCACTGAGACGCACTGACGCTAAAACTGCTACTTCCAAAGATAGCCTCCATGTCACGGCCTCTCTGTTATCCCGCAACATTGTCACTGCATTTCCTTATGTGCACATCTGAGCTGCATCTCTGACTTATAATTCTGGAATGTGCCTAATGAATGGATAGTGAACAAGGGGAGGACTGAGGTCAAGGAAAGGTCAGATCCTTTCATGCTTTCTAGCAGTGGCTAAATGTCACAATCCCTAGAGGTCACCAGGAAAAAAAGAGAAGATCTCACAGGACAGTATTTCCAAGTAAGGGACTACCTGGCCTTCCCTTAATTGACTACCTGGATGTCACGGTGACAGGAGAGGGCTGAAGAAAGAGGGAGACAATCTTGCATCTGGATTGATACCCTGTACATCGTGGGCAATGACTAGTGGCTGAATGGTGGGTGACCCTGACAGTCAACAGTTCCTGAAGATTCTGCACAGCTGACTGGTCTAATCTTTGAAGTTCCAAGAGAAGCCAAGGCTACTGAAGAGGGGGGCCATTACCACACACTTCACAAGCCGATTATAGAAGAGGCATCATCTTTTGCACGGGTTCAGCAAAGTGAACAGGAGAGATGGCTGAGAACACCAGTGTCTATGAAGACTGGCTCTGGCTCAAGGCCTGAGACCTCATAATGGCAGCAGGCTTGCAGCAGGACTCAGAGACACAAGGGCCAGAGAGGAAGTAAAGGGCAGGAGAACTGCAGGGCACAGCCCCAGAAAGGCAGCCCAAGGATATACTTGTGCAGAGTCCCAGAGAGCCTGAGAAACTATCAGGCACAATTAGCAGCTTGGCACATACTCTGAACTATAGAAACCAGGTTGCAAAAAACGTCCAGAAGAGCCTTAAGCCAACCAGCAAGGAAGATTCTGCCCGGAAACAGAAAAGGAGCATGTAGAACACAAGGAGAACACAATCAAAACCTTGTTTTCAGTCATGCATGTCAGGAAGAGCTTTAGCAGCACCTAGTGAGATGGATAGGAGCCGTTGTTAATTAGCAAGTCCAGATCCACACCACCTATATCACAGTGAAGATTTTCCAGAAATCATTCTACTTGTTGCTTTCTAGACATCCAAGGAAAGGCTCCCACTGAAAAGGCAGGGTGGAGGTAGGGATGGGGCTGTCTCTGGTGTCCCCTCTCTCCCCAGCAGAGACAGGAGGCTCAAAGTCCCCGCGGAGGCTCAAGTGGAAAGCCTCTGAGCTCAGCACAGCAATCTAGGTATCTGTGAGGTACTGTACAGACATAGACTGTTTCTCCCATATCTGGCTTCTTCCTTCCCCTGTCCTAAGAAGCAGCCTCTAGCCAAGACTGGCCTCTGAGGAGCGCGCATATTCCCAGTAATGAGTCACAGGCTGCAGGGGACCAAGCAAAGCTGAAAGCAATGTAGTTGGTCACTCTTAATCAATGTAGTCATATATAGGATTTGAATAATTAACTTGCTTGCTTTGACTACAAAGCCGTTTGCTGCTGGGCTCACGCCTGTAATCCCAACAATTTGGGAGGCAGAGGCAAGAGGATTGCCTGAGTCCAGGGGTTCGAGACCAGCCTGGGCAACTTGGTGAGACCACGTCTCTACAATAACTAAATAAATAAATAAATAAGCCAGATGTGGTGGCACTCACCTGTGGTTCTAGCTACTTGGAAGGCTGAGGCGGAAGGATCACCGTGAGTGTACCACTGCACTCCAGCCCAGGTGACAGAGTGAGACCACTACACACACACACACACACACACACACACACACACATCCTCTTGCTATAATGCCCTGTGGTGCAAATTCTTCACCAACCTGCCACTATCAGTGCCTCCTGTAAGTTCTAATGAACAAATATCTCTCCCTGCTGAACCTCGGGTGACTTCTTTTAAATAGGTAAACACTACTCACAAGCCCTCTCAGATTCGGGGTTACTGCATTACAGTGTCCCAATAACTGAGTAAGAAAAGCTCCAGAAAGAACATGGAAAGTGGAGGGGGAAGGGGAATCATTCCAGAAAGTGCCCAAGAACTGAAGATATGAGACTTTCCTAACCAGGCCCCTGGGTGGGCAGCACAGTGGGAGAGAAAATACTCACCAACAGGCTTCCTCAGAGAATGTCACAGCTCTAAGACAAAATGTAATTCCCCAAATCTTCCAGAGAGAAGAAAAGCGGATCATTTATGAGTTAATTGTAAAAGCAGCCTGCTTCTCAAAAGCAACTCAGAACTTAAAGGAAATATGCTGAAGACTCCAAAATTAAAATAGAAAATTATTTTCCTGAGTTTTGTATCCAGGCAAACTACCTCAAAGTAAGGGT